TAAATTAATTTTAATTTATACTTTATATATAAATATAAAGTATCATAGTTTTTATATATTTCTTATATCTTTCAAAATAAGTATTAAATATTAACATAATATATATTATAACACAATATAAGAAAAACTCACAATTACAACACTAATACTAAAAAAAATTAAATTATACTACTTTTAATTATTAATAAAGGATAATCCTCCAATATTAAAAGGACTCACCTTATTAATGTATAATTATAAAAAGTAAAATTTACTTAAAATGAGCTGCACTTTAATTTTCTTGAAGAACTAAACCCGGATAATTGTTATATTAAAAGGGAAATGCAAGATTAATCGAGTTTTCAGATCTAATGCTTTGTCCTCAATCTTTAAATGCTTTGATGTAGTTGGTTGAGAGTAGAACTATCATCAATATTTGAAACAAAATCCTCCATCCCTCAAATTCTCTCATGTTCAAACAAAAAAAAAGAAGAAAACAGGGGCACGAGGGAGAGGCCCGTCAGTAAAAACAGAAAGGCAAATACATGAGGGACCTGGTGTTAACAAAGTGTGAGGACCACCTAGTCCAAGTGGGATGCAGCCCTTATGGAGAGGCAGAGACCAGAGAGCCACTGATCCCTCTCTGTGTAATACCTCCACAATTGTTGGTGGCCATTGCTCAGGGACCTTTCAAGTAAGTACACAGCATTCCTTAATTATCTTCATCTGCATCTTCATTTTTCAACATCATTTCCATTCTTGATAGGTTCTTCTGATTCAGTTTTCGGGAAAATTGTCATGCAATAGCGTTGTACTAACTTCAAGTTTAGTATATTACCAAAAAAAAAAACTTCAAGTTTAGTAATCTAAATTCTAAAATGAAAAGGTATTGTGTTATTTAAATTATTTTAAATCGTATAATTTTAATTATTAGATATAAGAGTAAGTTTTATGATATTGTTTTATTTTATTATTTAGTGTAATTTAAATTACAAAATAAAAAATTTAATCTAAAATATATGAAAACACTCAAATTTGAGAATATAATGCAATATTAACAGACGAAGTCCGAGTAGAATAAATAAGTTAACATGCATGCGACTATTTGCTTGCTGTATTTTAGAGATTTATAGTTTATTAAAAAATGCTATCAAGAAATCATTTTATTATTTTAGTACAGAAAATAACTTAGGAATTATTTTTTATATTATTTAAGTAATTAATTTTTTTATTTATTTAAAACTCATAATATTTAATACATTTCTTTATTTAATAATACGTAAAAATTACATTAAAAAAATAGTTTCCATGTTGTTGTGCATTTTAGTACCCTCACCCAGCCACTGTCAGTCATCTTAGCATTTCTCGTTAATTTCC